TATTAGTTTGCTATATCCTATTCAACAATGAAAGCCACAGTATTCCTTCTTTTTTTATTTCATGAGTATTAAACAATATGATTTTTTACTGAAAGTGTCCAGTTCTCATCTATTTCACTTTGTTGATGCCTGAGGTATCAATGTGTAGTTGATTCATTTCATTCTTCACTGTGTTGAACTTCCTCAAATTTATGCTACTTACATTCCATGTTCCCACTGTATTTATTTCTTTACATCTTTGGATTTTTCCTTTTCTGTATGTCTACCTTTGGCAACAAGATGTCTCAAAAGCTTTAATCTAACCACACCATAAATACTCAGTACTCCGAAAGATTTTCAGTTCTTTTTCATTAGGATGATGAATGCTATCTAACATGATGGTTTCATCATATGATGGCACTAAAGCAACACTCAATTTATCTTATCTATCTATATTTGGTAAAGTTCAGGAGTGATTTAATTTAATTTAATTTAATTTAATTTCGAATTTATATACCGTCCTTCTCCCTGAGGATTCAGGGCGGTGTACAGCCAAGATAAAAAACATAGAATACAAATATTAAAACATTTAAAAATATATATAAAATTTGGCCCAAAAAATTAAAAATCGCAGACTAATTAAAAGGATTTAAAAATTTTAAAATTTCTTCTTAAGCCAACCCGGCTTGCTGAAAAAGATAGGTTTTCAGGGAACGACGGAAGGCATTGAGGTCCTGGATTCTTCTTATCTCCGGGGGCAACTGATTCCAGAGGGTGGGAGCCCCCACAGAGAAAGCCCTCCCCCTGGGGGCCACCAGCCTACATTGTTTGGCTGATGGCACCCTGAGGAGGCCCTCTCTGTGGGAGCGCACGGGTCGATGGGAGGTCATCGGTAGCAGCAGGCAGTCTCGGAGATAGCTAGGCCCTATGCCATGGAGCGCTTTAAAGGTGATAACCAACACCTTGAAGCGCACCCGGAAGACCACCGGGAGCCAGTGCAGCTCGCGCAGGAGTGGTGTTACATGGGAGCGCCATGTTGCTCCCATCACTACCCGCGCTGCTGCATTCTGGACCAGCTGGAGCCTCCGGGTGCTCTTCAAGGGGAGCCCCATGTAGAGAGCGTTACAGTAGTCAAGGCGAGAGGTGACGAGGGCATGAGTGACTGTGCACAGGGAATCCCGATCAAGAAAGGGCCGCAACTGGCGAATCAGGCGAACCTGATAAAAGGTCCCCCTGGTAACAGCCGTCAGATGTTCCTCCAAAGACAGCTGCCTATCCAGGAGGACTCCCAGATTGCGAGCCCTTTCAGTGGGGGCCAAAGACTCGCCCCCAATAGTCAGTGATGGAGTCAACTGACTATATCGGGATGCCGGGAGCCACAGCCACTCAGTCTTGGAAGGGTTGAGCCTGAGCCTGTTCCTCCCCATCCAGATCCGCACAGCCTCCAGGCACTGGGACATCACTTTAAGGGCATCGTTGGGGTGGCCTGGGGTGGAGATGTACAGCTGGGTGTCATCAGCGTACTGGTGGTATCTCACCCCAAAGCCACGGATGATCTCGCCCAGCGGCTTCACATAAATGTTGAACAGAAGGGGCGAGAGGACCGATCCCTGCGGCACTCCACAAATGAGAGGCCTCGAGGTCGACCTCTGCCCCCCTGCCAACACAAACTGCGACCGGTCGGAGAGAAAGGAGGAGAACCACCGTAACACGGTGCCTCCCACCCCCAACTCTTCCAGCCGGTGCAGCATGATACCATGGTCGATGGTATCAAAAGCCGCTGAGAGATCTAATAGGACCAGAACAGAGGAATAACCCCTGTCCCGAGCCCTCCAGAGATCATCAACCAGCGCGACCAATGCCGTTTCCGTGCTGTGCCCAGACCTGAAACCTGACTGGAACGGATCCAGATAGGATGTTTCCTCCAGGAATTGTGGAAACTGTTGCGCGACCACACTCTCAACAACCTTCGCAATGAAGCGAAGGTTGGAGACAGGACGATAGTTAGCCAATATTGCTGGGTCCAGGGACGGCTTCTTGAGGAGAGGCCTCACCACCGCCTCTTTCAGGGCAGCGGGGAAGTGACCCTCACTCAAGGAAGCATTAATAACGCCCTGGAGCCAGCCTCGTGTAACCTCCCGGGAAGCCAGTACCAACCAGGAGGGACACGGGTCCAGTAAACATGTGGCCGCACTAAGTCTCCCCAAAATCCTGTCCACATCATCGGGAGTCACAGCATCAAACTCCTCCCAGATAACATTCTCAAGACTGTTCCTCGTCACCCTGCCCTGATCTACCCAGTCAGAGTCCAAATCCCCCCGGATCTGAGCGATTTTGTCATACAGGTATTGTCCGAAATCCTCCGCCCTGCCTTCTAAGGGATCCTCCCGCACTCCCAGATGGAGCAGGGCGCGGGTCACCCTAAACAGGGCGGCCGGACGGTTCCCTGATGACGCAATAGAGGCGGAAAAGTAGTTAGACTTTGCCGTCTTTATCGCCACTAGGTAGGCCTTAATATGCGACCTTACCAGTGTTCGATCAGATTCAGCGAGACTGGCCCTCCAACCGCTCTCCAGGCGTCTTTTCCGGCGCTTCATTTCCCTCAGCTCCTCAGTAAACCAAGGAGCCACCCGGGATCGGCATCGGGTCAGAGGCCGCAAAGGCACAACTCGGTCCAAGGCCCCACCAGCCGCCCGATCCCAGGCGGCTACCAGGTCCTCGGCCGAGTCATGTGCTAGATCCTCAGGAAATGGCCCAAGCTCCGTCTGGAACCTATCAGGATCCATCAGGCGCCTGGGGCGGATCCATCTAATTGGGTCCGCCTCCCTGCGGCGAGGGGTCGCGGTTCGAAGATCTAGGCGAAGGAGTGAGTGGTCAGTCCATGACAAGGGTTCCATGTCTATATCCCCTATAACAAGACCGCTCAACCACTGGCCAGAGACAAAAATCAGATCCAGAGTGTGACCTCCCCTGTGAGTAGGGCCATGAACTAACTGGGTCAGGTCCATGGCCGTCATGGAAGCCATGAACTCCCGAGCCACCTCAGACGTTTCACCGACAGATGGCAAGTTGAAATCACCCATGACTAAAAGCCTGGGTGTATCTACTGCCACCGTGGCTATCACGTCGAGTAGCTCAGGAAGGGCTGTTGCCACGCGGCAGGGAGCCAGGTACGTAAGCAACAAGCCCATCTGAACCCCACGGCCCCACCTCACAAGGAGGGACTCACATCCGGCTATCTGAGGCACAGTGGTCTCCCTCGGATCCAGATCCTCGTTAATAATAACCGCCACCCCCCCGCCCCTCCCCTGGGCCCTCGGCTGATGGAATGCTCTGAAGCCTGGTGGGCACATTTCAACCAGAGGGACGCCACCCTCCGGGCCCAACCAGGTCTCCGTAATACCCGCCAGGTCCGCTCCTCCCTCTTGTATAAGATCGTGAATGAGGGGGGCCTTATTAACCACGGACCTGGCATTGCATAACATCAGCCGAAGGCCCAGATCCTGAGTATCTAAGCCACCTAGTCTCCAAGAGGAGCCATGGGGACCGGGGCAAGCAATTGCTCTCAAACAGCGAGTGCGAGCCCCCAACACATGATATGGTCCCCTGCTCCCGCCATATCTGCCCCTCCCATCTACCGTGCTGATGGTACAAACCTCATAGGTATCGTCCCCCATCCCTTTCCCAGTCCCTCGACCAACACCTCCCAAATCGTTACCCTGTGCCGGGCTCGGCTCTGACCCTGGTGGATTTCCCCCCCCCATCCCCCAGAGTCTTCTTCCCAATTTCTACTACTTCCTACTTACTACTTCCCTCTGCAATGCAGAATGAAATGATGCCTTTGCTGATGTCACTGAAGTGATCATCTTTAACCAACATTTTCCTGTATCTCTGTTGCCCAATATAGATAGCTGTTTGTTTTAATTGCAGACCTGGGAGGACCATCATAACTTGAATGACTGCTGGGAGTGCATATTCTTCACATATACTTTGTCTATCTTGGCTCATGCCTTCTAGGAACACAAACTTCCCCTTTTCCCATGATGACACAGCATAGCAGTACTTGAGGCTGGTAGGGAGGGAATTCCAAATTATCTGGTTTTTAAATCCAAACAAGGAAGTGAATTCATCTGAAAAGAATTTGATAACCATTAAAGCAAGTAATAAACGGTGTAGTACAAGGTGTTTTTGTGGCTGTAGTCAAAATCCTGGCAGTCAGCCACATTCTGAAACAGAAGCTTCTAGGCAGTCTCTAAGGACAAAGCAACATAAAATGCATTGAAAGAACCAAGCCTTGATGTAACCATTGCATAAATGATTGAGGCTAAGTCTGTTTATTCTTGAAATTGCTTCATTAGCATGTATGATAAGCTGACAGAAAACATTGATGGCCTATACCTTTATCTTGGGTATTCAAGAACAAAGACAAAATATACTGTAACTCACTTAAGCTTTTTAATGTAAAATTAACAAAGTAAGAAAAACATAATGATCTAATAACATTTACTTTAAATAGTAGGTATGTTAATTTATTTCAAACTACTGCTTAATTTTATATCATATTTGTACAATATATCACTGTTACTGGGGGCTCATAAAATCTTGGGAATCATCTCCGCCTTAAATTAAAGTAAATTCTTGTAAATTAGAACATTTAAAGCTTCCCTTCTCTCCTTCCTGGTTGACAGGTTGTAAACAAATTTACTTCAAACATGACACAAGTCTTCATAACGATACCTTGGAAATATTATGACATTATGTTAGTCTACATATTTCTAGATTGGTCTGTTCATTGGCGATTTGTCTGAGAATAGTTATGAATATGTGAATATCTACATTTAACTTTCCAAAACCAAATGTGATACAATGCTATTTTTTTTACAATGTAGCTAAATCCGTGCCAGAAATTATCTTCAGACTGATATATTTTTACTTAAGTTAAAGATGGTAACTTTTAATTAGAAAATATGGAATAATTCCACTCTTTTAAAAACTTACCTCTTTATTATTATTTTTTCTAGGTTGAAGATACTCTGTATTGTGCTGGGCAGATTGCATTAGTGCCCTGTACTATGCAACTTACAAGTGGTGGCATCAAAAAAGAAGCTCTGGTATCTTTAAACCATGTTGAAAGAGTCCTGAAAGCCATGAACTTGAAGGCTGAACTCCATCACGTACTCATGGCAAATTGTTACGTAACAGACAGCAAGTACATTTCTGTTGCTGAAGCTGTATGGCAGAGGAAATTAAAAGAACTTATAAAAGTATGTATAATATTTTTTTTTCCTGCTTTCAAAGCAACAGTTTAGAAAATGCATTTATCCATGACTTGAACTAAAATCAAAACGTTCTCAATGCATTTTTCTGACGTTCAAAAAGACTGATGGAATAAGGTTTGATTGAGCTATTATATTTGGGCTCTTCTGTTTCGATGGAGTGCTGAAACATTAAAGTGCCTAACAGAATATTATATTCATCAGCAAGTTTCTCTGAATTCCATAAAGCAAAAGCTTAAAGAAGCCTGAAAAAGCAACCAATTCCATGTGGACATTTTTAAAAGAGGATTTAGAGTCTGAATCTAATGTACATATATGATTTTTCTTTATCATATTGCAGGAGAGTAGTTTTCACTACATTTCTGCACTTAACTTTCACAGAGATGATCTGTGGGGTTTGTCTTTTATGGAGGAATTTTTATTTTATTCACAATCAATAACGCTTACAATTATTATAAAGAACACTCTATATGCCATCTTGAACATTCGTAAAAGAATTGTGGGGTATAAATCCAATAAATAAAACTTAGATGATAATTAGTAAAATTAAATATATACATAACATCTGTTGGAAGGAGCTACTTGATCAACAAATTTTCATGAATCACTTGGGTAACTAAAGTTGATCAAAATATTTTGAAATTGAACCATTTTGAATTTGAAACACCCTTTTTCTCAGTCAGAGGAGCTCTCTCTAGGAGTCTCCGGAGGCCGGGGACAGCAAAAAACGCCACTTCCTGTCCAACCAGAAGTTGGGAAATGGGCCATTTCGGGCCTCTGGAGGGCCTCCGAGGGGGTGGGGAAGGCTATTTTCACCCTCCCCAGATTCATAGAGCCAAGTGAGAAAGAAAAACGGGCTTTCCCCACCCACCTCCAGGCCCTCTGGTGGCAGGAAACAGCCTGTTTCCCTACTTCTGGTGGGCCCAGAAGGCCCGAAAATCAGCTGGCGGAGCTGAGCTGGCATGCCCACTGATATGGCTACATGTGCCATAGGTTCACCATCATGGTTCTATTCTATTCCTCATCTGATTTGGGGTTGTTTTCTTCTGCCACTAAAAACCTATGATAATGTTGATATCATGCAGGAGGATCTCCTAGCCCAGTATAGAAGCAGTATAGAAAAGAGAAGACAAATGTAGAAATTTTGGAGTAACTAGCATTGCTTTTATTCTTTTGAAAAGATTGGGGATTCTGTTTTAATAATGATCAATAACAACCACATTTACTGAGAAGAGAATCACTTCTAAAGGGTGACTTATCTGATCATTGCAGAACATAAAAGTGAAGAGAAAATTCTACCCATTTACTTTGCCAAAACAAGACTGCTTCTACATTAGTTGCTTTTTTTTAATACAAACATAAAAGTCATTGATATATATCAACTCACTGAGGAAGGAAAATTCAGGGGCTTTGGTTGTTGCTAACACACCTCAGGTCCAAATTGTATAGTCTAGAGATGTAGAATATAGTGCCAGCATCACTTAGCTCAGACTAATTGTCTACTCATCTGAGAATGAATAGAGAGAGCCTGTGGAGTGAAATAGAGGTAAATTCAGAGTCTGATGTGTTGCACCATTGATGCGAACAAAATACAGGATACAAATATAACAGTCTTGCTTTTTATTGGCTTTAAGATTTAAGGCTTAGCACCATTTCTTCTATATATATGAAAGGGCATGGAAGCTCCTTTCAAATAATGAAATTATCAATTTATCTTGTAGTGGACTTTTAGATGTTACTGAACTACAATTATCACCCCACTCAGGACAGCAGTAGTGAAGAATGCTTGAAGAACCATAGGATTCTCCTCTTTGTTCTAATGCTAAGTTTGTTGTATCAGTTGGAGTATAGATGTGAAGGACAATGTATTTACCAATCACCTCTGTTAAAAAGCCAGTTTCCAGTGTTCCCCTTCTGACATACTGAATATGACCAAGCATAACAATATAGGGAGTTGGATAAATTTTGAAGATGCAGTCTATCTCCTTTTCAACTGAATAAATATGACTCGTCTTTCCCTAACAATTTTGTTCGTGAACCCCATTTTCCCATTTTCCCTAACTCTAAGAAGAAAATACCATGGCTTTACTCTTTCTCTGGATACCTTTCAATGTTGGGCAGTTATTTTTTATCAACTTCTCATCTCTCCCAAACAAAAATTGGAGAGAGGAGGTAAAATGATAAAAATGTTAAACAGCTAGTTAGATCTCTTACACCTTTTTGTGACAGATAATGGTGGGGAAGGATTAGAGAGAAAAAGATCAGAAAAAGAAAGAAAGGGGATGGGATGATGGTGGGTGGATGGAATGCTTAAGGACAGGGGTCAGCAACCCGCGGCTCTGGAGCCGCATGTGGCTCTTTCATCCCTCTGTTGCGGCTCCCTGTTGCCAGTCGGCTCCACAAATTGATAGGGCTTTCAGTTAGGACAGGCAGAGGAAAAAGGATGCTGCGCTAGGAGGAGACTCTATGGTGGGGAAATCGGACTTCCGGCCGGCAAAGGATGCCACGCTGAGAGGACACTATATGGTGGAGGAACTGGACTTCTCGTCGGCTCTAGAAATGAAGGGGAGCCTCCAGTTAAGAACTTTGTGGCTCTTTGAGTGTTTAAAGTTGCCAACCCCTGCTTAAGGAGGAGTAAAGAACCATAATCAAATGGAAAACAGGATAGAACTATCTCTTTGTGTTACTGAGCTCTGCTATGATAGCTTTTCCACTCTAGTTTGTGGATATGACACTAGTGCCTTTCTGTCAAAAATACACTTTTTAAGAAAAAAATGACATAAAAACAAAAACAGGTTGATGCTGACTATATTTGCTGTAAGTAAAATTCATGAACCATACATCCTTTAGTATAAGCTTGTTGACCTCTTGTTAAGGTCAAGGGTTCCAAGATCAGGGTTCCAAGTAACATCCCCAATGAAAGAAGACTCCGAGACTAGAAGTTCCAAAGATCCTGAAGATCCAAAGTAAAAGATGGCTTCCAGGACTGACAGCATCCTGTGAGATAATCTACAATGTTGGGAAATACATCTAAACCCTTAAATATCTTCAAAGTAAGTTGGCAGATATGGTGGTCTGTTTTTGTTTTTAAAATGTCTGCTCTTTTGCTTGAATCTGATACATGCATTGCTTAACTGGCCAGCCCAAACTGCATCTGTAAGCATTTAGAGTGGTCTGCCTAATAATACAGGCAGCTCTAATAGTGGTCTACTTTGTATCAGAGTTCATGGCACTATGTATACAAACGCAATACTGGATCTTATCTCACTAATCTCACAAAGGAGTAACCAGTGGAGTAATTCCTTTTGGTCTCAAGTTCAGTCGTTTATAATTCTTGTGCCCAACTAAGAATATAAACCAGCTTTCCTAAAGCTGGACACCTGCCAAGCCCCTGAGGTGCACAGCATGATTCACCTGAATTTTCTTTAATGAATTTTAATGTTAAGAATTGGGGGTTAGAGTACAGAATTTCAAGAACTGAAAGAGGAACCTTCCAGCATTCCTTTATTAGTGACTTCATTGAGGCAGTATCTCCTAGAATGTTTGGACTCCCCCCCCCCCCCGAATATTTATATGACATTTATTTATTTATTTATTTATTTGTTTATTTGTTTATTTATGAGATTTATATGCCACCCTATCTCCAGCCGGACTCAGGGCAGCTCACAACAGTTAATAAACATCTAATAAAAATTAAATCCAAATCTCATAATTTAACAGTTAAAAGTACAAGACATACTAAGAGTTGTTTGCCTGTAGTAGATCTCTCATCTGCTGATGCTTGTATTTAGAGTCACTGTACCCTATGACTATCATTAAGTGTTGTACCTTATGATTCTTGATGAATGTATCTTTTCTTTTATGTACACTGAGAGCATATGCACCAAGACAAATTCTTGGCCAATTAAAATTTCTATTCTATTCTATTCTAGAGTTATTTCTCATTAAATCTTAGCCTAATGAGAATCTCTTTCTGATATGTGGTACTCAGCTGTAGAATTCTGTATTATTTACAACTGCTGGATTCTGAGAGCTGAACTCCATACATCTGATTGGATGCTCAAGCTGCAGAAGTCTGGAATAGAACATTGATACGTTTTTGTAGGAGATCATTCCAACCACATCCAAGACTTAACAAATTTCCCATTCATACTTTCTTCTTGTTTCCTTGGCTCTCTCCATTTTTAAAATAGTCTTCAAGCTAGTCAAGGTCTAAGCAAGAGTTCTGATTCAATGCCCCTTGAATTTGAATTCGTACCAAATTCAGTTGAACTGTATTGTATCCTGTGTATAATACAGGGATTCTTAAATATAGTTTAACCTTTGGAAGAGAATATTTGTAGCTTAGGGTTGAACTGTGGGATCCTTAGTGTTCTGAGCCTGGTAGTTTTCGTACAGACGTTTCATTAGCAAGCTAAGTATCTTCATTAGTACTAGAAGGGAGTAGGGTTTGCGGTTTTTTATATACTAGTGGTTTCCCTTGTCAGTGTTGGGAGTGTTCTTGGTGGTTCCTTGATTAGACTAATGTTTACTGTTTGTTTTATCTGCATTGATTGGGGTATTGTTTACTTGATTGTTTGTCTACTATTAGTCTTAGTGTTAATCTCTGCTGATATGAGTGTTGAATGCTGGTGAGGAGGTGTTTTGATTTTTTTTGTTTTCTTTTGGATTTAATAATTATCTTTTTTTGAGTGAAATGTAAATGTTGTTTGTTGTTATGCACCTGTGGATGGCCTATTTGTTTGAGTGCAAAGTCTCCAGGTTTTTCTGGCATTTTTGTGCTTGGCTTGATGTTCACAGTTTTCTACCTGAAACTATGATTGAATCTATCCATGTGTTATGAAATTAAGGAGTTTTCATCAGGTCTTCTGACTGCTAGTTGGTGTTCATGGATGTGCTGGGCTAGTCTTCTGTCTATTTGTCCTACATAGTTTTACAGTCCTGTTACAGTCCTTTCAGCATATGTTTAGATGACTCCTGTTATTCTT